AATTTTCTTTGTCAACCCCAGCTCATTTTGGTCTTTAGCATTGTTGACAGTATCTTTATAAGACTGTGCCATATTCTTATATTTATCTTCTGTTTCCTGGTCTAATTTCCATCTTCTTTGTGTTTCTTTTTAAAATCTAAGTTGGGTGGTGAGTCCCTTGTGTATCCACATCACTCCCTTCAGAAAAACAAACAAACACATTTTTCCTTATCATTGGAGTTGTTTCCTTTTGTGTCTTCAGAATTTTATTCTTTAGTATCTTTCATCCCCTGTGGGTTGACTTCCCCTAAAGAATTTTAGTCCATGAGATTCTATCTATTTTTCCTTTGAACCTACTGAAATCTGCTTTCCCCAAATAGCATGATATACTATGCTCAGCTTTTTTCTACTATATCAAAACCTTTATTATGGAGTGGTCCTACCCACCTCCACCCTGATTCCTATCAAGTTCTCCTCGTTTCTGCCCTAGAAACCAGTTCATGACTATCAGGGTGAATCATATCCAGAATAGAATTTATAGTTTCCCCTTGTTTCCTCCATGTTTTAAAGGTTGAAATTTTCACAAAGTCATTAAGAAATCACTAGCTGCTTTTCTTGTGTGTGTGTGTGTGTGTGTGTGTGTGTGTGAGAGAGCGAGAGAGAGAGATTCAGCAGATGTTTTGATAACTGAAGTTCCCCTGCCTTCTCTGTGCCAAGCCTGTGATCTATTCCCCAAACTCTCCAACTTATTTCTTCTTTCTACCAGATGGTCCTTACTATACTTCAAAGACAAAATTACTTCTATTTGTCCCTCCTTTCACTCACCCAAATCTTGACTGTCATGTTTTCCTTGGCCAATAATTAAATCGAGGTTGTGCTAATCAGAATCCATGCCCTTTCTACCTCCACTTCTTAAAATCCTTAGCTTCCATTAAGGTTCACCTCAAGGTCAACCTTTCTAATCCCTTTCTTTGTTAGCTCTTTTCCTCCTCAAATTACCTTATATTTACTTATCTGTTTACATGTCTCCCCCCTCCCCCAGCATGTAAGCTCCTTGAAGGCAGGAGCTGCTTTTGCCTTTGTATCTCTCATAGCTAGTTAGCATAGTATCTAACAGCAGGACTTAATGAATTCATGTTAAATTTCATTGACAGAAGAAAAATAGGCTTGTACTATGGAATTCAAGATGAAAAAAAAATAGCAAAAGGCAAAGAATGATTACAGAGTTTCCACTGGGCATTTTCCCCTAAAAATCTTTGAGAGTGTAAATTAAGGTCAAGCCAAATTTGGCAAGTGTACAGAGGAGATGGTTCTCACAATGTCAGAATCATCCTTGATTCTTTATTTTCTCTCAGCCCTTAAGTATAATCAATTGTCAAATCTTGTCAGTGTCCTCTATAACATCTTCTCTTTATGTGCAGGACCATTGCAACCTCTTTAGGCCCTCATGACTTCTCACTTGAACTGTGGTACAACCCCTCTATAGTATGCCCAACTCAGTCTCTCCTCTTTCTAAGCTATCCTTTACATAGGCTATCAGAGTGATATTCCAAAACACAGGCAGGATCACGTCACTCTCCCTTCTTAGGAAGTGCCAGTTGTCTCCAAGATCAAACAAAAACTGCTTTGTTTAGGTTTTAAAACCCTTTACCATCTGGCTCCAAACTATCTTTTCAGGCTTATTGCTCATTCTTCTCCTTCACCCATTCTACATTTCAGTCAAACCAACCTTCTTGCTGTTTCTCATACCTGATATTTAGTTTCTTTGCCCACTTCTTTTGTATGGTCTATCACTCAGTACCTGGAAAGCTCTCGCTCTTTGTCTGTCTTTTAGAATCCATATCTTCCTTCAAAGAGAATTCAAGTGTCACATCTTAACATGAGGTTTTTCCAAATCCCCTAATTATTAGTGCTTTCCTTCTCTTAAACTACTTTATGTCATGAATTTTGTATTTACTTCTCTAGTTACATGTTGTTTCCCATAAGTAGAGGATAAGCTTCTTGAGGGCAGAGACTGCTTCAGGTTTGCCTTTGTATCCCCAGCATTAAGTACAAGACAGGCCATTTAAGAAGTGCTTAATAAATTCTTGTTGGATTGAATTTAACTGAATCATATTTAATTGAATTGAATGACATCAATGTGCTCACTTTCCGGTAAATTTCAAGGAATTACTGAATAACATTATCTTAGGAGGATAAGAAGGAAATTTGGAAGACATTCTAATCTGATTCCTATTAGAGGAAGGTCTTGGAAACAAGAAAGTCTGGCATTTTATTTTGGATATTTATCATCCTTCCACAGATAAGGGTTACCTGGGGTTTCATAAGGCTTTTTTTTTTTTTTTGCTTTTGCCCTATATGTGGCTCAATTTCATCATGTGCTAGTTGGCAGAGATAGAGGTCCTTTGATTTCTGAAGAGGGGAGGAGGAGATAATTTGCATTTCACCCATAGATAGATAAATAGACAGATACACACATATACATATATATATGTATGTGTATATGATATATATGCATTTATCTTGACTTGTCCCTTAGCCATGCATTGAGGTATGTTTGTACTTCAAGGAGGCAGATCCTTGGCAGCTTCAGAAAGTGACTGCTGTGAGCTGGGGAAAAAGCCTCAGTGAGCCCTTGTGGCTAGGTTGAGACTGAAAAATGAAGGATTGCAGAGCCAAGAAAGTAGGATTAAACATTGGCACTGATTTAAAAACCAAAACCAAAATCATAAAAAGAAAAACAAATACATCGTCCTGAATCTAAGCTTCCTAAGCCCAGCCTCAGGTGTCCTATTTTCCTTAGCTCAGCTAATTTTTTGGAAACTCCTTTGGAGCACAAGTCCCAAGACCTATAAAATAAGCTAATTTGCAGAATTTTTAATTGTGACAGAAAGAAAAGTATAGAAAAATGTGTTCAGAATAGGAGATATCCCTTGATGGTTTCATCTGATCCATTTTGTTTTTCACCAGAGATAGTTTGCTTTATATAAACAAAATAACAAGAAAGGATTAGAGTGGGCTAAATGCACATCTTATAAATACCTTGCTAGTGTTTGGTGATGTTAGCTTAGATTGTGACAGACATCTGGATGAAAACATAGTTTTAATAATTTCTTTGATGTGCAATAAACATCAATGTGGTGTGGTGGAAAGTACTATGTCAACTCAGAGGTCAGATGACTTGGGTTCATATCCCACTTCCGCCATTACCTACCTATGTGACCTTTAGAAAACAGATTCAAAGAGTTTGAAAGCTTGAAGGAAACTTTGTGGCTCTCTAGTCCAATCTGTACACAAAAGGAGCCCTCACTATTCCGTATTTGACAAGAAGACTTGGAGTGAGGGGGGACCCACCATCTCAACAGGCTGCTCATTCTATTTTTGGATAGTTCTAATCATTAAGAAGTTTTTTTGCTGACATTAGGCATTCATTGTACACTTTACAATTTCCACATCTTGCTCCTTCTTTTGCCTTGTGGGAGAACAGAGCAAATCTAATCTCTCCTTCATATGACCACTCTTCAAATACTTGAAGATGCTATCATTTAATTTCTCCCCCAAGTTTTTTCTTTTCCTCCAGGCTAAATATATCCAGTTCCCTTAACTGATAACACTTTAAGGTTTAATATAGATCTATGGTGTCATGTGGAAATGTTCACATGTTGAATTAAGGTATAATACTAATATTACTGACATTTCATAGCATGTTAGAATTTCACACATCATCTCATTTGAGCCTCATAACAATCCTGTAAGGTAGATGCTATTAATACCCTTATTTTTCAGATCCTGTAAGGTAGACACTATTAATATCCTCATTTTTCAGGAAACTATTGCCTAGAGTGATTAGGTCACTTGTCCATGATCATACAGCCAGTAGGTGTCAAAAGCTAGAGTTGAACTCAGATCTTCCTGACTTCAACTACAGCACTCTACCTACTTCACCACTTGACCTTGCTCTTTGTGCATCTACAACAAATATTTGGTTTGTTCGTTGAGATTTAAATAGAAATTCACTTGATTCATCAAAGCATTCATCCTAATTTTCCTAATGGAAAACGAAGAATGAACAGAACAGTTTCAGAGTTTGAAGGAACTGGAAGCCATTTAGTTCAACCAATACTCCAAAAAAGTTTTCCTCTACAATAAACCCAAAAAATGGTCATCCATCCATTGTTGAAGACGTCCATGGAGGGGGAACCTACTACCACCTGAGTAGCAGCTTATTGCACTTTTGGACAATTCAAATATTTTGGCAATTTATCTTTAAATAGAACCTATATCTGTCTCTCTTTTATTCCACCAATTGCTCCTAAGTTTGTCATCTGTGGCCAAACAGAAGTAGCCTAATACCTCTCCCACAAGATAGTCTTTGATATTTTAGAACAGATATCATGCCCCCTATAGTTCACTTCCACATTTCCTCTCGTTCCCAATCCTTCTTTTCTCCAAGCTATAAAATTGCAGTTCCTTCAACTAAATCTCATATAGTATAGACTTGGGGCCCTTTGTCAATTCTAATTATGCTCCTCTGGAGGTTTTCCAGTCTATCAATGTTCTCCACAGTGTGTTGAGGAGGAGTAGAAAGGTTGCCATCTGTTGTGATTGATTTATTTTCTGAATCTTGCTGATAAGGCCTTCTGTATTTCCCCAGTGGTCTGTCTCCTTTAGTAATCCTGAGAACCATCCACTCTTCTTGACCCACCAATCAATCAATCAGCATGGCCCTTCCTGACATGTTAGCAGTCAATAAATCATCCTCTTATGTTTTGCAGTCTAATGACCCTTCTTACGGGTGACATGTTTCAGCTTTACCTGGTGAGCTAAAGGTAAAAGAGGCTATATGAGGCCTGCAAACAATATATATCATTCCTTCTTACCCGAGTTGGGATTCTTAGTGCCTAAACAGTTCCCTTGAAGAGTAAAATAAGCATTACATGCAAAGGAATATGTTAGGAGCACTACTGAAGTGATGACCCAAAGCCCCATGAATGGATGAGTTTGGAGGGGGAGAGACTTACCTTTTTGACCTCGTACTTAATGGCAAGCTTGATTCGACTCAGACTTGGACGATGATGATCAGCCCAGACTTGGATGTTCACATCACCATTTAAAATTGCCTCCACTTCTTCTGTGTCCCTGCAGAGGTCCAGCACACCCACCACAAAATCCTTGCATTGCATAGATAACTTCCTGTAATCATTCTAGCAAAATAAAAAGAAATCAGGGGTGTTTAGCACTGGGCTGTATAGATGAATTCATCCACGGCAGGAATGCAAATCTGTAACTTCTCGAGGACATTCTAGTCAAGATGATTATATTAAATTTAAAGAAGGAAAAGAAGAGTAACGCTTCATTTTCTGGTGAAAGTAATTTATGGTACTAATTCCTGTCAACTGAATTAGAGTCCTTAGAAGTTACCTTGAGAACATTTGCAGTCATAGGACCTGGTTTCTTATCCTGATGCTTAACATTTTCTGTCTGTCTGATCTTGGCCTAATTATTTCCCCTCTCTGGACCTGTTTCCTCATCTGGAAGATAAGGTAGATATCTTTCAGCTATAAATCCTGTGCCATTTACTGACTAGATTAATGATTTGATAAATAAAATAATGAGGTATGAGAGAACTGAAAGGCTTTATTGTCACCATCTCCTACTCCTCTGAACCACCTTCTTTATAAGTAGGATGTATAGTGAGAAAAAAAATCCAGCTTTCTAATTTGAAATTGGAAAGATGCAGGATTACCAAAACTGTGTGCAGGTGTGTATTGTTTTTCATAGTATGTGCATTTCTGAAACATTATGTATAAACTGGGCCTGGGAATCTAAATTGTATTTTGAAGGTACCATTTCTAAAGAAATAAATCATACTCTTTCAAAAGTGAATGATAATCCCTTAATTTATCTACTTGTAATGAAAAGGAAATACATCTACATGAAAACAGCACTAGATTCAAATCCAGAGGATGAAGATTCAAAACCAGACTCTCTTATTTAGTACTTGTGTGGGCTTAAGGAAGTCACTTCCCCTCTCAGTTTTTGCCTCTGTAAAATGAGGGACTTGAGTTAGATCATATCAAGGATCTTTCTACTTCTGACTAATTCTATGAACCTAAGGACATGGTTTTTTTTTTTGGACAATTTTTTTTTTCTAAAGTAAGGTATATTTGGGCTTCTCTTCTCCTTGGAATTTACTTTTATTAGGACAATATTTCTTTTTCAGGATATAATGCCAGCCTGCCTCTCCCTCACTTTTCTTCCCCCCATGCCATTTTTATTTTCATTTTGTTTTCTTATGTGCTTCAGGTAAGAATCTCAAATGTGCATAAATATCTTTATGAAATATGATTCCCTACCCCCACAACCTCCTAGTTTGTAGGAAAGAAAAATCTCATTCCCTTGAGGTTCCCTTGCCAGCAACTAGATGGCCTCTGGGATTTCTTCCAACTCTGATATTCTAGGATTCTCTGATCAAAGTTGAAATGAATTTATCCAGCCACTACAGGAGAAGTTAAATGTCACGTTCACTTTTAGTTGCTGTCAATGGCTCCAGTTGCTGAAAGGAAAAAAAAAAAGGACCATCTAGCTTGCCAAAAAAATGTTTTTTCCTCCAGACGTATACTTGAAACTGGACCAGGCCACTATGGGCTTGTTCACTGACTCTCAGTGTTTTTCATGAAGAGTTACATTAAAGTGTCATTTTGTATTGGAAATAGGAGTAAGCAAATAAATATCTATATCTATATCTGTCTGTCTATCTATCTATCTATCCATCTATCTATTTTTTTTTTTTACCAAGAACAGAGGAGACTAAGAAGCTTTGAGATGGATTGGTTACTTTTAATTGTTATTCACATCTCTACTAGGAGTCAGTTATTTTGACACCATAAAGGAGAAACTATGGCTGTTTCAGTCAAACAGAACAAATCATGCCCTCTCCTGCCTCACTGTCCTAGCTCATTCTGTTCCTCATGCTTTTAATGCTCTCCTCCTCCCTCTCTACCTGTTGAATTACCATCCCTCCTTTAAAACCCAACTCAAATGCTACCCCCTCTATGAAATCTCTTCTGATGTCCCCAGGTATTCACTTGTACCTCTCATAGGACACTGTTGTATAGCACTCTCATTCACTTACAAAATAACATGTCTCATCCCTATAACATACTGTAAGTTCCAAGAGAATGGGAGACTTATGTTATTTAAACTGTGTATCTCCCTATATGGCTTAATACACTGTCCTACACTGTCCTAAAGAAATGTTAGATGAATGAATGAATGAATGAACTTACAAAGATTGCACAATAAGAAAGTCCATCTAATCATGAAGCTATGGGAAAAATATTATTTGTATCCATAATATGCTATGAAATGCATGGGGCTGTTTGGAGAAACTGCTTTAGATCTGGGAAAGGGGACATGGATATCAAGAAAAGTCAACTAAGTGGAAAAAAAGCAGTGTGGTGAATATAGTACTTGATTTGACCTAAAATCCCAACTCAAATACCAATTAGCTGTAAGACCCTTGACAAGTCTTTCAACCTCTCCTAGCCTCAGTTTCTTCATCTGTAAAGTGGAGATAATAAGAGCATTTATCTCACAGGGTTGCTATGAAGATTATGTATTATAATGTGTATAAAGCACTTTACAAACTTTAGAGTGCCACATAAATGGTTGTTGTTATTGAGTCGTGTCCAACACTTTGTGACCCCATTTAGGGTTTCAAACCATTTCCTTCTTCAGATCATTTTACAGATGAAGAAACAGGCAAACAGGGTTAAGGGACTTTCCCAGGGTCACACAGGTAATAAGTGCATGAGGCTAGATTTGAACACAGGAAAATGAGTCTTCCTGACTCCAGGTCCAGGGCACTATCTTCAGTGCTATACTGTCTTACAAAAGTAGTAGTTATTATTATTGGAAGAGCTGCCTTTTATGACAGTTTGATCTCTATTGCTCACTTCATTTTATGCAAATGAGCCAAGAAAAAGAAAAAACATAGTGTGAATGAAGGATGTGAGAGGCCTTCTTGGATTCTGCTTTGGCCCATCAGAATAGGCTATGTCACCTATTTAACCACAGATCTGTTTTCTGCAATTCATATTCCCAGAAAGCGAAGGGAAAGGAAACACATATTTATTAAGCACTACTATATAACTGATATTATTTTTTAATTAATTAATTTATTTTTAGTTTTCAACGATCATGTCTAAAAGCTTTTGAGTTTTAAATTTTCTCCCCTTCCCTCCCCATCTTTCTTCCCAAGATGGTGGGAAATCTGATGTAAGCTCTACAAGCACATTCCTATTAAACATATTTTCACATTAATCATGTTGTAAAGAAGCATTAGAACCCATAAGAGGAACCACAAGAAAGGAGAAACAAAATGAAACAGAAGAAAAAAAGAGCAAATAGGATGCTTTGATCTGCATTCAAACGCCATAGTTCTTTCTCTGGATGTGGATAACATTTTTCATCATGAGACTTCTGGAGATGTCTTAGATCTTTGCATTTTTGAGAAGAGCTGTCCATCAAAGTTAGTCATCGCCGTGCATGTGTGTAACTGGTATTATGCTAAGCACTTTTACAAATGTTACCTTATTTGATCCTGACAACAACCCTGTGAGGTAGATGCTGTTATCTCCGTTTTACAGTTGAAGAAACTGAGGCAAACAAAAGTTAAGTAATTTTCCCAGAGTCAGAGAAATAGTAAATGTCTAAGACTGGATTTGAAACCAGGTATTTCTGACTCCAGACTCAGTGCTCTCTCCATTGTACCACCTGGATAGTGTATCATAGAACAATCATTTAGAGCCAGAAGAGACTGAGAGGAATTCAGTCTTATTTTACACCTAAGAAATTTGAGTCCCACGGAAGTTCAGTGGCTTGTATTAAGCTCACACAGTTTAGAGTAGAGTCCGGTCCGAGTTCTTTGACTTGAACAGTGTTCTTTCTGCTAAATTAGGTCCTTCATGACTTCTTTTCAGCTTTTGACACTTTGGACCATCTCCATCCTAGGTATTCTCTTCTCTCAGGATTTTTGTGATACTCCTTTCTCATGATTCTCCTCCTACCTGCCTGAATGCTTCCTCTCAGGCCCCTTTGCTGATTATCTTTTATATCATTCCCTTTATTTGTGAGCATGCCCCAAAGCTTTGTCCTAGGACCCCTTCTCTTTTCTTTCTACACTCTTTCGGTGACCTACTCAAGGTTTAAGATATATGTATCTAGTCCTAATCTCTCATGAGCTGCATACTAGATATTTTAAATGAGATGCTAGATGTCCTGTAGTCATCTCAAACTCAGTATGTCCAAAAGAACTTTCTCCCCAACTATACCTCCTGTTCCAAACTCCCCTATTTTTGTTGAGGGCAGTACCATTCTTCTAGTTTTCTAGATTTGCAACCTTAGTACTAATTTAAATTCTGTCATTTTCATTCACCCCACATAGTTGGTCAGTTGCCCAATTCTATCATTTCCTGCTCCCTAACCCCCCTTACACCCATTCTCTTCTTTCTACTTCTATAGCCATGGCCCTAATTCAAGCCTTTATCACTTCTCACTTGTCCTATTTCAATTCCTTGTTCATTGTTCTTTCTGCCTAAAGCCTCTCTCCTTCAATCTACCCTCCATAAAGCTGTCAAAATAATTTTTCTTTTCTTTTTTTTAAGCCTACAGTACCCAGTATTCCCAGGCGGTCTCCCATCCAAGCACTAACCAGGCCTGACCCTGCTTAGCTTCCGATATCAGACGAGATCGGGTGTGTTCAGGGTGGTATGGCCATAGACCAAAATAATTTTTCCCAAGGTATAGTTTCAACCATGTCACTCTTCTGCTCAATAAATTCCACTGTCTCCTCTTTACTTGCAGGAGCAAATATTTACTCCTTTATTTCACATTTAAAGCCCCTCACAACCTGTCTCTAGACTACATCTCCAAACTTAGTACATTTACTCCCCTACATATATAATTCAGCCCAGTCCAAATTTTTCTTCTTCCTATCCCTCCTACACAGAACTTGATATCTCCTCTCTCTGGTCTTAGCTCCATTTCATCATCTCCTCTCTTCTGCCTCTTAGAATCCCTTGTTTCCTTCAAGGCCTTTTACATGATAGTTTTCCCAATTCCTACAACTTCTAGCGTTCCCCTTAAATTATTATGTGTCTATTATGCATATAACTGTCTATGGGTACATGTTGTCCTTCCC